TATATAAATTATATGTGTATAAATTTTATATGTATAATTATATATAAAATTTATATATAATATAAATTTCTAAGATGCTGTACAATAGTACTGTATTTCCACGTTATTTAAAGAGAAATTAAAGATTATTATGTTTTTTTATCTTCTTACAATGTTGAGCAAAATATGTTGCTGTTCAACAATGCACAAAGCATTTACAGAGTGCTCAAAGCTTGTTTGATAAAAGTTTCATAGACGAATTTTAGGACTCGTATTTTAGGACATATAGACATAAATGTACTTTTTCACATGTTGCATTTCACATTTCCAAGATTTTTCACCTTCATGAAATGACTGCACTTAGCTGATACGTAAATCATAAATAAAAGCGTTTTCCACTTGTCGAAGGAGATTTTATTAACGTACGGAATAGATACTGCACTTGAAATTAATTGCAATGTGAAATAGCGTAATGTTATTGTGATTTTAAATATACAATACAACATGTATACTCTTATTATTATGTATGTATGTACATCTATGCGTGTATAGTTATGTAAATTTATTCAAATAATGTTTCTAATGACAAAACAATAATGAGCAATGTCTTTCTACATATGTGCGAATTTTTATTTTTTTGTGTTCCCGCTCATCCATCCTGTTTTGTATAAATTCTCTGTGTAAGAAAAACAACTCACATAGCGAATTCGATCACTTGAAATTAGCAAAGTTAAACGTAAAAGTATATAAATATTTTAAACGATTATCTATCTACTAGCGATATTGTCACGTTATTTAACAATATCATTTCATTGTCAAAATTGATTATATTGTATCACTGCATTGAGATAGTTTATATAAAGCAGCTTTTAATATGCACTAATCTAATGTAGTGTAAGTGATCGAATTCACCATAATATATGTTAAAATATAAATTATAATTTTGACTCAAATTTTATTGTGTGTTAATGTAATTTTATTGTCTTTATAATACAGAACGTAAGAGCGCAAGAAATTTGTGATTGATTATCCGGTACACTAGGTCAAGCTTGTACAATGACGGAACATAGGAAATTCCTGAGAAACGATGAATTCTTCGAGTGCATTAGGGCTACTGATACGGTAGCTATTCGCGTGACATTTCATGAATGGAATGTAAGGTATAACAGAACCGCCGATAGCTGTCATACCAAAGACACACTAGCAAATTCCAGCTTTTTCGAAAATAAACGTTTTGAATTTTGTATAAAATTTTTTATTAAATTTTTTGGATAACTTATATTCGTCCATTAATGAAGAAAGATCGGTTATTTGTGCCATGTTAAATAATTTCTTCTTAAATAAAAATTTTGAATAATTATTAATTATTCCACTTAGGAAAATTAATTAATCATATATAATTAATGATTTGAAAATAATATTTTTTATTGTAATAAACTATTGTTACTCGATACAGCCGCGGTAACAAAAAATGCGAATTAAATTTAATGTTTAATTTCTAAAATGTCAGAATGAAGTTTACCTTCATTTCATATATTTTTTTCAAATTTTTATTATGTGTTTTTATTATGCATTTTATAATATCAAGAGTAGTAAAATTGTAAAATATAGGTGAATAAAATAAAAGAAAAAATAAAGAAAATTATATTTTTTACGTTTTAATATTTCATTCTCCTAATTTATTAAAAGAAACACGAGGAAAATTTTCAATTTTATTAAAATTAAAATCGCTCAATCCGGCACGTAAGAATTTGATAAGAAATAAAAAGAATCAATAAAAAGAATAAAATAAAAAAAATCAACTCTCAAATACGAGCAATATATTGATATATGATTCATCAATACATATATTTAATTAAAATGCAAGGAATAAATTATGTCTGAGATAATTCGTACAATAAGACGTTAAATAGTTCCTGAATTCATGTTGAGAGCATTTCGTGGCGGTAAACTGGATGTTACGTGATGTGCTACAATACACAAAGGCAAGTGCTCAGTCGACCGTTTTGTTTTGATAGCAGTGACGGACGCGGTTACGCGGTCTAGTGTGCCGTTGTGTATACAAAGCCCCGCCGGCGTGATGCTATCATTCATGTTGAGAGTGGACGAGACTCGATCTGATAGGTGATGTGGCGTGAATGTTGTCCCATTAGCTTTTAAGGACGTGATCACGATGAGTACGAAAATGCAATCCCTCTCGATTATTTAACTATTGATAAATAGTCATCACTCACCCCATAGTTGCTCTGTTGCTTGACACTTTCTCCTCTTCCTCTTATTCACAAGTTCTGTTGTTGCTCTTTCGCAGCGAACCCACTTTCGCTTGCGAAAATATTGTTATTTACGATCCTGTTACACTCTCGTTAAATTTCACGACGCGACGCGCATTTTGTTGTCACATTGTTGCGGAAGAATTACGCGGGACTTATAGGTATTATAAAAATTATAATTAAAATTACAAAATTATAAAAAAACGACTTCTGCAATGAAATTTTAAGGCGTAAAACTTAATTAAGCTTTAATTTTTAAGCCATAAGAAATTGAGCAATCATAATCAAATATAAGGAGAATACTCGATTTGATTATAATTAATTTTTTACGGCTTAAGGCATAAAGCTTAAAACCGGCAGTACACGATGCTTGTTTTATTGCTGGATGCTAGCTGGATTAGAAGTCAGCACTACAGGCAATGCGGTGGCAAAAATCTAATCTCCAGCTAGCAATCCAACAAGAAAACAAGCATCATGTGCCGCCAGCTTAAGTCTTAAAATCTTGCTTTAAAATTTCATTATAGATACCATTTTAAAATCGTATTGTAGATGTCGCTTTAAAATCTCGTCATTGACGCTGTTTTAATAAGATCAAGGTAAAGTAATATCAAGTTAAAGTCAATTCAGGAAAAATTATAATAACGTTTTAAAACTTTTAACGATCATTTTGTGATAAATTCTTGACACAATGCTTTTTGAGTTGCTAGCTGGAAGTGTTTTCAATTAAAAAATTATATCACAAAATGTTATCATCAAAAATATTGAATGATATCGCCGTTATGATTTTTTCTAAATCTAAATTGATTTCTACTTGATATTATACTTGATTCATCTTGATCTTATAATTGTTAATGAATTTAGTTGAACGTATTAATGCATATTAAAACTATATATTGATTTAATCTGATGAATGTAATATTCTATAATAATTCATTAGTAATAAATCAGAAATCAGAAGCTAGAAATTGGCCAATTATTCTTCTCGCATTTGATTGTGTGAGCCAATTTCTAATTTATGACTTCTGATTTATTATTAATAGTTTATTTATTGTAGAATGTGCCTAAACTGTAAATATATTTCGAATTATAAAATACATTTCACTTAATAGTATAATAAAGTGTGTTGAATTTCGCGATTTAATCTATTTCTATTAAATTTATGTATAACATATACAAAGTATTCGAAAAGTTCCCTTAAATATCTTGAAAAGTAAATATTTCTGAGAAAAATTCATACAAAAATATGTTGTATAGTTTAAAATAGTCTAAATCCCAACGTGTCCAACTGACGGCTAAAATCTATTAAATGTTGTTCTAGACCATGTCCTGGATAACATTTGTTAAGATCAAAGCTATTGGAGATTATTTCTTTTATTTTCATTTTTGCACTAAAAATTCCATTTTTACGTAAAAATGAAAATAAGAAGTACAAACTCCAATAGTCTTGATCTTGACAAATGTTATCCAAGTCAGGATCTTGAACATTTAAGAGGTTTTAGCCGTTGGTCAGACATCTTTGGTAGTGCCGGCAGTACTGTAACTTTCAAGTTTTATAACATGAAAAGTACTTAATGAAAATAACTTTATTATTATTTAAAAAGCTCTTGACACTAGCTATTATATTCTAAAATAAAAAATAGAATATAATAGCTAGTGTCAAGAGCTTTTTTTGTTTAAAAAAAAGCAATTTGACCTTGACCTTGATCTTGATGGACCTGATCTTGATGGCGCTATCTAAAGTCAAACTGATAAGATCAATAAATCGACCATTTTAAACTATACAACTTTTGTATGAATCATTTTTCTTAGAAATGCTTACTTTTCAAGATATTTAATAAACTTTTTGAATATCGTGTATAATAAATTTATATATTATAAGTACATATTTTTACATCAATTTTAATATTCGAATTTTAATATGCATCAGTGCGCACTGAGTGTATCTAACTAATTTTCTGGTAAAAATAAAAATCGAAGCGCAAGTCAAATATAAATGAAGTTTTTAAAAGGCGAAAATTGAAAGAACGAAACGTAAAAGAAGGGTATAAATGCTTCTTTTACATTTTGTCTAGTACAATTTTTCGTCTAGAAGTTTCGTTTACGCTTATGTTACTATCTCCTTATATCCGATTTACGCTCCGATTTTTATTTTCGTCAGAGATTCATTGTATGATTTTGTATTCTACCTGGGACGAACGCGCAC